ACATCTACTTCAGGGAATGCTGCTTGATTAAATGAGATAGTATATGTGAATGAATTCTGTTACTTACAACAGTATAAAATATTCACTATGATTATACTGGATTTCCATTCTGGCCTCTTCATTGGGAACAAAAATAACGTGAAAGCATATAAAAGTGTTGGTTGCTGTAGCTGATTAGAAGAAATGAGAGATGTTGCATCTCTTTTTACCACCCTGGTTCTAATATAGCTTCGTCTGTCACGTGACTGTCTTCAACTCGGGTAGTCTGCTAAGAATGCAAAATCGCCAAGTGGGTGAGCAGCAGAGAGGTACTGTTTCCAGAGGAAGGCATTAAATTGAATTATTAAACACACACAAGTAGGAGTAGCAATGTAAGAATTTTAAAAGATTCACAAGGAAAGGCAGTAGAGCCAAGGGACTATTTCTGGTGTTCTGACTAGAAAACTCCCAATGGCTATTACGGCTATTTATTAACCCGCAACATCATAAACCATAACCCTATTAAATATGATGAATGACTCCTAGGTTACGATTTTTAAATACCAATTCACAGGGATTTTAGAAGGCCAAATTGGCATCACAGGATGCAAAGTCTTTGGGCAAATGGCGATTATGTGATTAGATGCAATTATAGCAACTGAATGCGAAATGATGATGGACAAGGAATTTAGAATAAAGAAAACGCATTTATTTATTTAGATTCTGTCCCATTGAGCTGAACTATACTAATTGTGATCAGAGGGGCAGCCCTGAACCACTGTTTGAGGCCAAGTGTGTCACAGGGCTGGCACCACCTCATGAGGCACCTTGTGCTGTGCCCTGAGTGCTCATTGCTCCACGAATTTAGAAAAAAGTGCTCTCTGGGCAGACAAATGAGAAAAAGTTTCTCCCTCACATCATGAGGGCCCTTGTAAGAATTAGAAAAAGGCACCTCTTGCTCCAAGCCACAGCCCTTCACTGCCTAGGAAATCGAGAGTGATCTTGTCAAGGAACTCGGAGGGTCTTTGGTCCTTTTAAGTGTTTTCAAGATGTGAGAGAAGGCTTATGTCCCCTTTAAAGAATGGGACTTTTTGTGTTACTCTACTTAACTGTTCTACTTCAAGTCATCTATCCTCAAGTTTAAAAAAAAAAAATTCAGCACCCTTTATGGAAGAAAAAGAAAACAAAGAAGCTCTTCCTATCTTCTCAGTAAACATGTGTGTGTTTGCTCTCCTGATGGAACGGGGAAGGTCCAGGTACCTGCCGAGGGGCTGTTGAAGGGCACCCACCTGCACGTTTGGGGCGTGAGGAAGCCAGCCCAGGACGGCACGGGGCTGGCCCTTCTCCCCTTGGCTCTCCAGCCCTTTCCTAGGCCCAGATGCCCCTGGCTGCCCCTTTCAAGGCCTCTACAGTCACCACTGAACACTGGGCTCCATTTGTCACAGGCAAATAAAAAGGCAGGGCATGACTTTCTACTTCTCAATAGCCTGCTAATCTGTCACGCTGTGTCTTCAGTTTGAGGACAGCCCTGTGTTTGGAGAACAAAACGAGGAGAAACCCTCAGTAAGAGAATCTTAAATACTATGATCCCTGCCCTCCTTCCAACAGGAAAGGATATATATTGATTTAAGAATGAAAGGAGAAAAAGAAAAAGTTAAGAAGGAGGGCTTATCTATAGATCAATGGGGATACATGATGAAAAGAAGCCACTTTGAGGCACACCAGCCTGGTGAGTATCTCTTTAAAACAAGCAGCTAAAAATGCTTTCAACCTCGTAATACCATAAATGTCCTGCTGCTGTCTTGGCTTCCAGATTCTTCCCCGTACTTTCCATGAGCATTCCACTGGGAATTGTCTGGAATCCCAGATTAAAACAGCAATAACCCAACTCCCTTGTTAGAATATTTATTTTCTTTTAGGTTTGGAAACTCAGCTGGGATGCATCTCTCAGTATACAGCATGGCCTCAACCCTCCTAGGGGCTACAGGAGATGTTTCTCAAACGGCACGATGGGCAGCGGAGTCCTGGAACGGGAGAGGGAGGAGGGCATTGCAGCCTCGTGTGGAAAGCCCCAGCTGCAGACAAACAACAAAAGCCTGGGAACCTCCACTTTCAGAGGATTCATTCCAGATGTCAGAACTAATGGTGTCACAATGGGGCTCACTCAGACTGACAAGGAGGCCCCTGAAGTCGGGCTGCCTGAGAGTAGGCATTAAGGCAAAATCATCACCCGACCAAATCCATACTCAAACAAGTAAATCTAGTCTAAGGTTGGCAGCAATATGATACAGTCCAACATCTCATAATTATCTATGTGAGGGATCCATCCACCCACCCGCCACCTACCCACCCACCTAATGGAGCAAACCATTCAATAACTGATTGACCATAGTCCTCAGTTAGAATACTGAATCACTCTGAACAGATTGTTAGATTCTACGGTCTAACTGATTACTAGACTACAGAATCTAACCATCTGATCCTAAGAACAGATTCTAGCCATAAACCAACGCTATGGCCACATCAGTAAATAATGATTAAGTGCCAACCCTGAATTCATTCATCCATCCATCCATCCATCCAAAGAATATTTATTAAACACACATGGTAACATAACAGATAAGAATGTAAGCTTTGGAGTCGGACAGAATTGAGTTTGAATCCTGACTTTATCTTTTACGAACTGTGTGACCTTGTCAAGTTGCTTCAATTCTCGAAGCCCTAAAGTCCTCATGTGTGACACGGATATAAAAAGAATATTGACCTTACAAGTATTACTGTGAGAATTAAACAAGATAATTTACATAAAGGACTTCACACAGTGACGGGTACTGTGAGTTATTGTGATCCTGCGATTGTGTGATTACCACAGTAGAGCCTGGCCAAACAGTGGTAAGCTGTGGCTCACTAAGAAAACTGTCTACTCCCGAAAAAAAGTTAAGTGTTGGTGGAAAAAACAGTTCACAGAGGGAGAATGATTCCTTAGGTGAGAATCATAATATCTGGAAGAAGGCTGGCTGACATTCTCTTGTCTGGTCACAATGGGTATGATAGGAAAACTGGATGTTACAATCACTGACTCAGTCAAACAGCTGGTGTAACAGCAGAACTAGTTAGGAATTAAGGTCTCCTGACTGCCAGTTTGGTGTATGTTTGTTTTGTTTTACCATAACTTCCTATGGAGAGGCAGTTCTATGGTCAAAGAGCTGACATATGCAAGGGCATCCAGAAACCAACCAGGAATTAGGGCCTCCTTGGAGAAATGTGTCAAAGTACAGGAATAAAAAGCTACAAAAGAAACAGCAGCCCCTTTGGGACAAATGTTCGTAATTCTTTTCTCCCTGCACCTGGCAGAGAGCGTGGTCTGCTTTGTTCGTTTCTGTATCCCCAGCATCCAGAAGGTCCCTGGTACAGTGCCGGTAATCAATAACTATTAGTGGAATGAAGAAAGGAATGAGATTTGGTAGGAGGAGTGTTTGGCCTGCATGGCACGAGTATGTTCCATCCTGAAGTGAGTATTCACAGGGCAGCTTGTGGAGGAAAAGATGCTATTACCTGGCTGTGGTTTCTTTTGCAACCCTGTCTGCTGCCATGGTGCCAAAGCACTCGGTTTACCAAGGACAACAGTGCCTGCAGCCATGACTTTGGCGTCTGTACGGTCCCAATCTGGTCTGTGAAAGTGCACTGTGGAGAGGATGGGAGAGTGGAGCTAGGCCTTTCCCTCCTTGCCTAAGTGAAGGTGGAATGTGCTGACCCTAACATGTAGCAACTCTGTAAACGGTGAGGGACACAGCAAGCTGGAGGAGGGGGAGAATCCTTGTGGTCCCCAATCCTCACAGTCCAAAAGCCTGGCCCCCATCCTTACTGTGGGGGAGAAGGGGTTGCCAGCAACGTTCCCCCAGCACCTCCCAGCACCACAGTCACCTGATTCCCTGAATTATCACAGGAAGAGAAAAGAGAAGCCCGCGTCCTCCGTCCCCTATTGTTCTCCACCTTCAGCAGGCAACCTTCGGGCTCCTCAGGACGGACGGAACAAGAGGAGAACATGGGGAGCAGCACCATGCCAGAAAGCGATGGCAGGCACAATCGAGCCACCATGTAAGTTATTAGGAACTAACTCGGACCGGGCCAAGGTGACCCCCAGTGTCCTCCATAACCTGGACTTGTGCCCTCAGGATAACGTTTAAGCCAGAGAACCTGGCATTTTCTTGGACACCGTGACCAGGGTGGGAATCAGGTGATTCATTCTCCCCAGCTGCCCCCATCACATTGTATCTGGGCTGGGTGGCCGCACAGGAAAGACAAAAAAGGAAATGACAGGTGTCGGCTGCTTGGAGCCGGGCCCAGCAGCACAAGTGTGTTGGCCCCGATGCCCTGCCAAGTTACAGCTGAAGATTCAGACAGGGGAGGTGGCAGAGGCCAGGGGGAGAGACGATTTGGGAGATGATTGGGGGAAATGCCGCAAACTGGCTGAAGCTACGGAGGTAACGCAGGCACTAGAGAGGGAAGAGAGGGGAGGAGAAGAATGGAGGGGAGAGAAGCCATATCCAGGCACATGAGATCCAGGAAAGAAGGGCAACCAGCATGGGAAAAAGCCAGGAAGAGCAGCACACAGCTTCAAAAGCAAAGCAGGGAGAGAATCTGACTCAGAAGTTGAGCAAAACTTAAAGCCGAACAAAAAATTACCGGGGAGTTAGTGTGAATTTAGAAAGACAGACTAACTGTCCCCCAAAATTCATCTCGCCTCTTAGGAGAGTGAGTGGACTCTGCCATGTCTACTGCCCATTCCCGAATGTCTGGGTAACATATCATAGAGCCGAACAGAGAAGCACGGGACAGGAGTCTCGAGGTTTTCAAAGCCATGCTGGGGAAGGGGTGAAGTCGTGTGAAATCACGCTCAGCTTGCCCCTCTCCAGCTTGAAGCCCTGGGCCCCTCAGCTCCACGCGGCCCATCATTCTGACCCCGCGTCCCTCGGGACGGCTGTCCCTCTGTCTGCCCCCGCCCCGGGCGCAACACTCACGCAGGTGCGCGGGCAGGCGGATCGAGTCTTCCTCCATCCTGAGCGCTCTGGGCACTGGAACATGAAGTGGAGTCGAGGAAGCGTAACTGGGCACCGGGCTCTCGGGTGGTGTGTATGAGATTCGCTCTTGCTGTTAAAAACAAAGGCAGGAAGAGGGGAGGGGGAAAGACAGTGAACGCTTGGAATGAGGTGTGAACTCAGGGAGAGGAGCAACAGGGACTGGGGGCATCGGAGCACATGCCAAGCAATCCCGCCCGCCCCCTCCAGAGACACTATTCTGTGGCATTTCAGAGCTCCAGTTTTGGGGATTTATAACAAAACTCTGGAAAGGTTTAAAATAGGGCTTTTCCTTCGGACTTGGATCAATGGGTGCCCGTTTTTTCCTCTCTGTACTAGTGGTTTTGTTCAAGTAAAGAGGGGAGACAAGGCAGAGAAAATGATAAAGTATGTCCTAGAGCAGGGGTGGGGAACCTTTTTTCTGCCAGGGCCATTGGGATATTTATAACATCCTTCTTGGGCCATACAAAATTATCAACTTAAAAATGAGCCTGCTATATTTGGTCAAACATTTAATTAACTCACCCCTAATGCCTTAGAAGAGCTAGACCAAACGATTTCAAAGGCCTTACACGGCCCATGGGCTGAGCATTTCCCACCCCTGACCTAGAGAATGGCTTTACAGACTACTCTCAAAAATGACTTTCCAAGTCACATAATAATGCCACCAATACATTAAAACCACGTTTCCTCTTTTCTGGCAATAGTCTAATCCAAGTATGATCCTGTACTCAGATCCAATGAGAGGTGAGCACAAAGTGATGGACTATAAATTCCAGATTTAGTTCGATCAATCTATGAGCAAGACTTTACTATTATCTACCAATCTCATTATACAACAACCAGTCAGAATATATATCCAATGTTTAATTTTTTTTCTTCATAGCAAGGAATTATCTGTAAAGCTAACAGCCTCCTTGTCCCTTCATTTTCTATCTAGAAGCAATGTTTCCTTTTCTTCTGAACTGTTTCAGAGATTCAAAGAATCATCTGCATTTAAGAAAACGACTATCTAACTGAAAACACTTAAGCAAAAGACAAGGAAAGGGGAGGGGGCTTCGGCAGATCCGCCGTTTAAACTCAAACAGGCAGTGTTTGTTAGATCAATTAAAACAACTGGATGGGATGGAAAAGATTATCATTTGTTTGAAGTTAAAATATGGCCAACAATGGCAAGAAACCAACCCTCGAATAGGCCAGAAGAGCAGTACAATTTGCATCTTAGGTCTGCATATCCACTGGTTTGACTTGCAGGCCATACACACTGAACATAACTTCCGTTAGTTTCTGTGGTTTAACTGGGCAAAGCAAAGTGGGACACACCGGGTCTAAAAATAGGTTGGGGGGGGGGGATGCGGGAGGAAGATCAGTCAAATGCCATTGTGAAAACAGAAATCAGGAGTGAAAGAAAAATCACAGATTAAAATAAAGCACAGGGGTCTATGTTTTGGAAAGACAGTTCTCTAACATTTTCTACTTCATCAAATATGCAAAGGGAAGCAGGGGAGTCCCCCGGACCTATAACCAAAGTCAAGTTTTTCTTCTGTTCATACCCTGGAAAGTTTGGTGGTTGTGGTAGGAAGTTTCAATTTTAAATGATTATGTACATATTTTTGTAATTTCCGAAGGGAATCGCGACACCTTCCCTGAGATATCCTCCACCAGCAAATAGGGCTGGAATATTTCTGTTTAAGCATACATCCTAAAGTTTCCTGGTGAATTTGCGAAGGGCAGGCACAGACATGCCAAATTTCATTTCTGAAT